TATCTTGATAAACCTTCATTGAGTCAAAGGATTCTTTATCTTTGTTCTTGCCAAAAATAAGAGAAAAAAAGAAGCAAAAGGAGAGAAAAAAAAAAAAGAAGGAAAAATAAAAAGAAAAGGAAAAGAAGGAAAAGGCTAAGCCTCTTTAAAAAAAAAAATCCATCTGGGGGGGGGAATAGAAAGCAAAGCAGAGCTTCTAGCAGAAAAAAGAGCTACTGCCACTAATCAAGGCTCTTGTGACTGGCTCAAACTTTCCATCTTAATGTTTTCAAAGTCGCTTTCAACTCCACTTTCTTGTTTATAGTTACGGATGGCACCTGTATAAACATGCACATCCCACTATCTTTTTAGAAAGCACAGGGTCTTTGAGCGTGCGTCACAATGAAAAAAAAAAAAAGCACTAAGTCGCGCCTCTAAATGGCAGTGCAACTTTCTTTCATTTACTTTCTCTTAACTCCACTTTCCCCATTTTATTAGTGGATTCTTATGTGGGGAGGGGTTGAACTAGATGTTCTCAGAGGTTCCTTCCAGTTAATACATTCTATGATAACTGCTTGATGTGTAGAGCTGGCAAATGGCAAAAAAGAGGCTGTTGGTTTATAATCAATTTGTGAGCCATTTGCAGAACATCATGTGTATTTAGATGTGCTTCTCATAATACAGTAGCTTGTAAGTGGCAAAGACCTGTAATTTCATAGCAAAAGTGATTTATACCTGATAGAAACTTTGGTTTTTGAAATACTGCTTCATGCACAGTTAACTCTGGTGGAAGCAACCAAAGGAACCAAAACTAATTTAAAGAGCCATTGGCAGTTTCGCTGTGTTTGTGGAACATCAGTAAATAAATATTTTTTATTTAATTTTTGTTATGGCTCCAAGTATACCCTCAAATTGTCCTCCCCCATAATTTGTAACCTGGTTTTCAGTTCTAGAAGTTATAGTGTATACTTAAATACTGTCCTATAATAAGTATTACAGATTTGAAGGAGTCTGTTAATCAGATACCAAGGAACAAAATGCAGACTCACTTCATCTGTAAAGAATGCATTTGTGTATTATTTATCAATTTCTTAGAGTACTGAAATAGCATTCATATATTATGGGTTCTGTTCCTCATATTTTATAGAGCTAAGTGCAAACAAAATATCTGTTGAACTTCAGATACATAATATACTATGCTCTTAGAATACAGATAACATATGAAAAACTACCTTCCTATTCCTATTAATTATTCAACCCATAACACTGATGAGTTTGTGAGCCAATGTATATATAGCCAAGATAAAGCCCAAAGAAAGAAATCAACTTTCCCGAAACTGCTGCTCTCCAGATTTACTTGGACTACAATTCCCCAAATTCCCAATTAGCACAATCTCAGTACTTCTAGCTGGAATCAGGAAGGCAAAACTGGATTAAACATAATTTTCACTATTTGATTCGTGCAAAAAGGAATGATATTTCAGTGTGTATCTTAGATATGTATTAATGTGTCAGTACACTGCACATACCTCTTAGCTGATAGGATGTGGGCAACAGTATGTTGATATGCAAGACAGTCTTTAGAGTAGAGACTTTAGCTTCCTTAGGTTAATGTACTTGGGATAAAACTGAGCTTTGATTGCACTTGTATCATACTGCTCAAAATGTACCAAAACTGACTGGTACTGACTTTACTATTAGCATGGAATATTACATGTGGCATGAGTACAACTAAGATTGGTTGCATAGTCTATACTTTATCTATCTTACTAAAAAGTGTTACAGTATGTGAGAGCCTTGGTTGACCAAAGCCATGAAGGGCAGCAGGCCAATCTTTGGGTCCATCTGGTGATGGAGGGCATATGGAGGATTACAAGTAAGAGAAAATTATAAGGAACATAAATTAACAAATGTGATTAGAGAAAGAAAAAGAAGTATGTTGTGTGCTTATTCACCTAAGAGAATATACCTAAATAAAGATAATCTGATATTCTGCAGTAGAGAAGATGTATACATGCACAGAATGAACATTTGCATTTAGTTATGAAGTAACGCTAAAATGTATTAAAAAAATTCAGTTGGTATCATCTAAATTGTGGCAAGTACATATAAAAGTAGGATTTCATAGGTTTTGTTAGTTGCATGATTCAGATTATTTGGGTGATAAGCATTGCTCACAATGCTGCAGCTTGTATTATAAACTGTAAAATATTTCATTTGCACAAGGAATGCAGATTCTATAAATATTTACCCTTTGTTTTAATCAAGAAAATTAAAACATGCAATATAGCTAAATATCCATGCTGTATAAGGAAACTTTATCATTGGATATAGGGAGTTAAATGAGAATCACAAAATTTGAAGGTCATTCAGCCATCAACCTCTGCTCAATGCAGAATCTAAATTAAAGCACCCACAATAACCATGATAAATGTTTGAAGACATCCAGTAAAGGAGAACCCCCACTTCTCGAGATACTTAGTACCACTATAAAACTGTTCTTACTGTTAGGAAATTATTCATAGCATTCCATTTGTCTTCTGTAATTTAAAGGCCATTATTTCATGTTGTGCCCTCTGAAATGACAGTGATCTTAGTCTTCTTCAGTGTGACATCCTTTCAGGTATTTATTTATTGATTTGATTTAATCCTGCTTTTCAGCACAGTATACATACTCAAAGAATGAAGGTGTAGCCTTGAGATAGCCTATCTCAAGGCTACACCTCCCCAATTTCTTTTATTTCCTGCTTTAGGATTAGTTTCTAATCCCCCCAATCCCCCTCACTATCCTTCTCTAAACCTGTTCTAATTCAAATCCTTCAGTTCCCAAAAACTGAATGCAACATTTGAGGTACAGTCTGACCAATGCAGAAAAAGTAGACCTCTTACTTTTCATGGTTTGGAAACTATATTTTGCTGGTGTGGCCTAAATTTGCATAACCCTTTTTTGTAGCCTCATCCCATTCTGGTTCATTCATTTGAAAGTAATTGCTATTCCAAAGTAATTTTCATAGGTATCGCTGCTAAGCCAGGTATTTCTCATTCTATGTCCATACATCTGATTATCTTTACTAAGTAAAGAACTTCACATTTATGTCTGTTCAATTTCATTCTGTTATTTTCAGCCCATTTCTCTAACCTATGAAGGTTGTTTTGAATTTTATTTTTGCCTTCTAGTATATTT